GCAGAGGAAGATGGTAAGAGGGGTGGCGAAAAGTGTGTGGACAAAACAGGTGTGGGCGGTCAAGTATGTGAAGGTGGAGAGGGAAAGGAAGGAGTGGATCAACCATCCACACCAGCAACAGTAGGTGTAGAAACAGGAGCAGCAGGGCCTGTCCCAGTAATGACGAGGGGAGGGCTCAGAGTTACTATACCACTGCTGCAAGGCCAAACTCTTATGCAACCAGCACCATACCCTTCTTCTGCCTCTGATGCAACTGCTCCGCTCCACAATCCCATGCAATCACGATCGCCCCTGGCTCTTCCTTCCAGCACTAGCACAAAGGCCTTTGGTGCAATCTCAGCCACCGGTGCACCCGCTGCTGGGTCTGCTGCCGCGTCCGTCCCTTCCACTCCCTCTTATGCTCCTTCTTTTCCAGGCAACCCCATCTGCACCACTTTCTCTCCCTCCCCGTTCTCTGCTGGGCCCCCGTCCTCCCCATTCCCCTCACTGACTCCCCCTCGTGTCAATCTGCTTCTTCTCAAAGCTAAGGCAAGTGAAAGCGATGCAGATCGAGCACTAGCCCTGCTGCGATCAGCCCAGGCCCTAGAGCGGGAGGCCTCAGGGGAGCTTCCCTTTGGCAAAGTTCTAGGGGGAGGAAAGAAGGGGGGAGTGAGTGGTGGGGGAGGAGCGTTGGGTATGAAGTGGATGAAAGCTGCTGCGAGAGAAGGTGCGGGGTCTGGCGTGAGAGTGGAGGTGCTGGGGAGGAGTGTGGGAGGAGGGGGAGGCGGGGAGGCAGGACAGGGAATGCAAGTTACTGGTACGAGTTTTGTTGAAAACAGGAAGGCAGGTGAAGTAGTGGAGCATTTGGGAGGAGGGGCAGTGCCACAGGAAGGAAGGTGCAACGAGGAAGAGGAGGTGGAGGAATGGAGAACGAGGCTGCATGGTTTGAGCACCCAGTTGCTGGAAGTGGCTTATGCTCTGGTGCATGGCCGGTCCCTGGCCGCTCTTGCTGCTGCTGAACAGGCGCAGGCACAGATGAAAGTGCAGGCGGAGGAACAGGCACGGGCAGAGGAGCTGGCAGAAGGGGGGAAGCAGTCGCAAGGAGGGACAGCCTTGAACGGAGAGGAATCTGAGGGTCAACAAGCTCTGGTGCCGGGCACAGAAACCGAGGCGAAGGTCACCACAGCAACAGCACCGAAGTCACCTACAGCAGCTGGTTCATCAGCAGCTGTTTCTGCATCTGTTGTCACATCCGCATGTAGCCCTGCAAGGCGGATGGAGCAGCGTCCTTCACCTTGCAGAGTGCGTTCCACCGATGCACAAGCTCTTTTTGCAACCGCTGCATCGCCATCTGCAGCTGTCTCCCGTGCTGTTCCAGCCCAGACTGCTGCTGCTTCTGCTGCTGCTGCTGCTTCTCCATCCCGTTCTCTTGTCCCGGATGCTGCGGAGGAGCGTCTCCCGGCTTCCTCTCATCCCCCAAAATTCCCTTCCTGCTCCCCCACTGGTGCTGCACCTATCCTCAAGCCTCCGCTTGCTCGCCTCCCGAAGTTGGCACGGCGCTTCCAGGCTGGCTTGAAGAGAAAGCAGACAGAAGGGGAGGATGTCGGGCAGAGTACTTTCTCGGAAGGTCACAGCGTGGGGTGCAATGGAGACGGGGTGAACGAAGCAGACAAGAGAAGAACAGGAGACCATGAGGCAGCGGCAGCGACAGAAGCATCAACAGGAGCAGCGGCAGAAGCAGCAGTGTATGAAGGAGTAGTGAACGGTTGGACGGGGTGCAGCCGCACAGACGGAGTCAGATATGCACCGAGCGCTGCCATCACTGGTTCATCTGCTAAGGGGAAGCAGAAGGAGGATAGAAATGAAAAACGAGGTAGCTTTGGGAAGGGCCGTAAGGTGGTGGATGGAAGTGGTGAGGGCTGTGAGCGGGTGGATGTGGAGGGGGGTGAACAGCAGGTGCGTAGAATGGAGGATGAGGTGCAGGTGGATGGAAACGGAAGTGAGAAGGTGGTTTTGCAGCAGAACGTGCGGCTGGAAGAGAGGCGTCAGCATGGGGTGAGGGAGTTGGGTGTTGTGATGGCCCCTGCCGGAGAAGCTTCTGAGGAAGAGATGTATGGAGAGGAGGAGTGGGATGGGGAGGAGGAAGAGGATGGGAAGGTTATTGAGTGGAGAATTAAGCGTGATGGAAAACGAGGTGCGGAGCATTGTAAGAGCAGTTCCGGTGGGCGTAGAGATGGTGGAGAGATTGTAAGAAAAAGAAAAGCAGGTGGAGCAGTAGATGGTAAGGCGGCACCGTTGCGCCAGGGGAGCAGGCCGGCATTATCACTGCAGAATGACGCAGGAAAGGCCGTCCCTGAGGGAAAGAAGCAGCTCGCGGCTGTGGCTACGTCGGCCCAGGAAGCATCCCCATCCACTGGCCCTTCTTTGTCAAGGTCTGTCAAACCCACATCCAAGCCCTCCGTCAAGCCTCTTGCCAGGCCTCCCGCTAAGCCTCCTTCCATGGCTGCAGTCAAAGCTGGCCTTCAACCTGGTCTCAAGACGAAGCAGACTCAAAAAACAGCCTCAACTCCTGCTGCTCCATCAATTCATGAGAGTCTATCGATGTCTCATTCGGCTCTTCAAATGCATCAAGGCACTCCATCAACTTCTCATCAAGGACCCAACAGAGGAGCCAGGCAGGGGACGTCTGTGCAGAAGAAGGCAGTTATGGCAGTGGCTGGGGCTGTGCACAAAGACACGGGTGGGAATTCTGGGAAGCTGGGAGGACAGGAGGCGGGAACGAGTGGGGTGGTAAGGAAATCTGCTGGAGGAGGCGAGCAGACAGCAGGTGTCAGTGTTAGTGGCGAGGTTGGAGCAAAAAGTATGAGGGCAGTGCTGAAAAGGAAAAGAGCAGTGGTTGTTGCTGATGAGAGTGCTCGACGTATTGCTGCCCCAGATGTGTCTGCTGATGCTGCTGTCGGTGGTGCTGACGAGGATGCACCTGCACCGACACCAGCAACAATAGCAGCAGCAGCCACAGTAGCCACAGCAGCAGCAGCACGACCAGCAGCAGTGGCAGGGCCAGACGTTGTCGATGCAAAGGCCAGTCAAGCCAAGAAGGCAACAGCGAACAGGGTGGCTCAGCGGCGGCAAAGTGCACCGCCAGCTTTAGCACATGCACAATTCGAGGCACCACCTGCTGTGGTCAAGGAAGTCAAAGTAGTCATACCAGTCAAGTCTGCAATAGCAGTTAAAAAAAGGAATGTGGCTGGAGAGGGGACGATTTCTGACAGGACAGGGACAGTGGGGGCTGCATCAGTAGGAAAGGGTGTTGGAGGAGTGGGTACAAGCAATTTGCCAGCATCAGGACACGGGTCCACAGGAAAAGGATCAGCCAAGCTCCTTGCCAGAAAAACGGCTGCTGTGAAAAGAGAGCCGATCACAAACACACCTGAAGAGACCGATGCCAGATCAGGCCAGGGTGTACAGGCAGCTGCAGCTAAAGTTGCTTTGTCTGGTCCGGGCAAAGGAGCTGCAGGCTCAGTGGCTATGGGTGGAACGGGTATAGGGCCTGTGAAAAAAAGGAAGCTTGGGGAGGGCAAAGACAGAGGCTCAGTTGTGAAGCTGCTAGAGCAGCAGATGGAAGGAGTAGCAGCACAGCGGGAGGGTACGGTACCCGCTTTTAAAGCAGGAACAGCAACCTCCAAAGCTGGAGTTTCTCAAACAACGCTAGCAGATGCTGCTAATCCATCTGATCCAGGAGTCGCCACTGGTGCTGCATCTGCTGTTGGAGTGGGAGGAAGAGGGCAGAAGAAAGGAGTGAATCCGGGTGGGAAGGGTTCACTCAAAGTTGTTCAAATTGGTGCTCCACAAAATATTCCGAAACTGAAGCTGGGGAGTTCAGCACCTAAAGGTGGGACAAAGGCTGCTGCAGTAACAGTGGGACCAGTTTCAGTGGACAAAGCGGGATCAGGCAGGTCCAACCAAGTCAGTCAAAAAGGCATCTCCAAGAAAGGTGTGAAGGGCAAAACGTTGGCCAATTCTGGTGCTGCTCAAATGGAAGGTGGTGTGCCTGGTGTCACTGATGAAGTTGGCACATGCACGGATGTCACAGGGGAAGCCACGGGTGAGAAATGCACACAGGATCCTGCACCGCAAGGCAAAGCCACTTCAGCAACCATTGGCAGTCCTGGTGGTACGAAGGTGCCTGCAACTCAAAGAAAAAAGCAGCCCCTGGTGATAAAGATTCAGAAGCCAAGGCATGCTGTAGCTGTTGAAGGGAGCTCTTTGAGCAAAGACCATGATCTGGAGTGATGATCACGGAAATGATTGACGTCACTGGCTGTTTGAATGTGACGTTGCATCATGTTTGTTGTAAGAATGTTTGAATCCAATATACCAGGACATCTGTAGCCTCAGCGGTCTTTCAACTTGTTGGGGACAAGAAGTATGTATGTTGTTTTTTCAATATACCTGTCAGTTCCAATACACAATAATGTCAGCTTTTAAACATTGCCACTACCAACTCATAGTCTTCTCATAACCAAGGTCCACCAACAGAGACCCCAGCTTCTCACGGATGTAGCCCTTGTTTTGCTTTGTCAAATGATTTTTCCAATCTCCTGGTGTGCCCTTCCTGAAGTGATCCTTCCCTCTGTCGTCTGCAGAAAGCACCCCTTTAGCAACAGAGCGATAAGCTGCACTTTCCTGACCAACTTTCACTGCACTTTGGACGAAGATCTTCAGAAGAAGGCTGTTATTCAATCCATACCTGAAAGAAGTTGCACAATGAGACTCAAAGTGCATAAAACGTCAAGGCCTTACATAAAACGTCAAAGCCTTACCAAGCTCCAATAGAGGCAAAAGCCGAGCCTATCCTTCTTTGCTCTTGGTACCAAATGTCTTCATAGCGTACCAATGTAAACCGAGAATCTGAGACTCTCAGAAAGTCTTTCAAAACAGTTGCATATGCACCTGCGTCAGACATCAATGGTGGTTATTCGTTGTTAACATTAGTATATGGACACTGATTCCGGACTCACCTTGTGTGTCGTTCCTCCAAGTGCTTCCAGTGATCATGTCAACTTCCATATTGATCCCAGCGGATTTGCTCACGTTGTTCAGCATCTGACCAAGGCATGCTTGAACTTCTCCTACGCTTAGAAACTTATTCATCTGATTGCTTCGTGAGGTGCTCACCTGCTGATAGGATTTCCCTCCATACTCGCTGCGTGGCTCATGCACCCAGGGTTCTTGTGTTGTTTTGTGGTAGAAATATCCACTGACCACAACATCCCTGGGATCTCGGACGGTCATAATGGCCTTGTATTTTTTGTCACCCAGAAGTTTAAGGGAGCCTAGAGCCGCGTTGTTGATCTGAAAGGATTGGTACAAACGTTAGAGAGCTGTATTACCTTCTGTGTCCAAGCGTAACGGGCATGATCCGGACCTGGCATATCTTGGATTCTGAATCGATGCAGCTTTGAATGTCGCCTTTGACGAATTTCATATTAGTCCGCATTCCGAAAATGCTGAAGATTCGAGAGAACCAAGCAGTGCCTGTACCGTAACGAGCTTAGTTGTGGAACCAGTTTGATTGTTTGCAAGCGTCTCTTACCTGTTTTGTGATGAGCCAAGTGAAGCATCACATAATCATTCTGGCTTCCAAGGCCGTGAACATACTTCTTGGTTGCAGCGTCTGTCTGATACTTCAATGTATGCTTCTGAATCCAATTCAAATCCGCGTACTTAACGTTGAGGTAAAAAGCCTTGGCTCTTCTGAACGTTACATTCTTCGTTGGAGTCGGAAGGGTCTCAGGCTGCTGAATGGCTGTGACTTTATCAGTAATTGGCAATCTTACGAGGACGAGGGTGCACGCAAATCCTGCAACCATGGCAAATAACATTGACCATAGAAGGCTGCACTCTTGTTTCTTCAACGGCGAAACAGAGTGCAAAAGCTGGCTTTGCAGAGTCATTGTGGGGAGGTTGACGGGTTCAACGCCTGAACATCGACACTAGGAAAATGTAGAGCTATCTTCATCACAATCGAAAATATACGGCAGAGCACTCGGCCTGGCAGCATCGCGGTTTTGCCGAGAGCACTCGGCCTGGCAGCATCGCGATGCTGCCAGGCCGAGTGCTCTGCTCTCGGTTTTGCCGAGGAGGGCTCTGCTTCTACACGTTGCTTAGCTTTAGCATGTACAGTAGTAAATAGTGTTGATTTCTGCTAACAGGACTTTCATACTGAATAATAATGTGCTGATTATAAGGGAATTATTTTCTTGAAATATTGCTTGATAATAGTTCACACCAGTTTACCTCACTCTAAATCCTGTGATCCTTACTGCCCTGTTCCTCTCACCAAGCAAGGTAACAGGTTTTTGTTTGATTGGGTTCACTAAAATACAGAGGCTAATCTGCATTCCAATCCAACACGTTGCAATTCCAAGGTCATCTCTACGCCTAGTGCTTCAACTCACTCAACTTAAAATGTGGAACACAGTTCAATTTGGTTGTAACACGATATTTCCAGAGATCTTGGTTCCTGTCGACACCAAGGCAAAAGCATAAGAATCCACGAGTTAAGAACCCATCAGCCTTGGCTTGGACCTACAATACCACAAGCTTGACACAAGCTCTGCGTCTCACACCCGCCCTGCTAGACAAACCCCTCTAACAAGACTCTTCATGGCATAACTCCCTCTCAAGCATTCCCCCTCCCGCTTCCTTTCCCACCCCCTCGCTTCCTTGTCCTCACATCTAATCCGTCACATTTTCTTGCGAAGAATTTCTCAAGAGCATTACATACCCCCCCGTCGGTGCACACTGGACGTTCAGTAGCTCAACCTTCCAACCCCCAATAACCTTTCCCCTACTATCCCACCACTTTATCCTTCCCCCTCCCTCCTCTCCCTCTCAAGTGCATACAAACCCCTACGTGAATACCCTCCCACCACCATGCTCACTAGCATGTGCCTGAGCTTGTGTCCCAAAGAATATAAGTGACAGATAGTGCACACACCTCATGAGTTGGCTTCATCTTCATCCTCAATCTTTGGTGCTAGATAAAATCGAAGGTAGCCCATGTCGGCAATGGCATATTCACAAACGATCGGAAGGTCCTTGGAGATGCTCAGTCTGACAACACCAGACAGTGGAGTCGCCTTGGTGAAGGAATTTAGGTACCGCAATGCAAATGTAAGTGAAACGGGCTCCCTCATATCAATGACCGTTTCATCATCAGGCTGCGAAATCATACGGCAGATATGCAGAACGTTAAGACAGGAGCCCACAGAGGAGTTCATGAAGTGCACAGTGGGCATGAACATTAAGACAGGAGTGGGCATGTCAATTGCTCACCTCATCCACATTCAAATTTTGTCTGCAGACTATATTGGCGTTACCAATGTCGCCTGATGTAGCGAACTTTATACCCTCTTTAGTCACACTTATAATTACTGCACCAAGAATATAAAGTGGACGTACGAATTAGGAGCTCAATGAAACAAGACAGGAAACAGACACCTTTCGAATCAGAATCATCGCCGCACATAAACAGCAAAACAAGAACATCCCTCACCTGTGTCGCCAATGGAGCTGAGGTCTTTGCAAATGCGGAGGAACTCCCCTGCTGGCATCTTGATATTGGCATCGTACTCCTCGTCGGGAATGCCGAGATGCTCGCTGTCAATGTCCATAAGCTTCATCTCGAAATCAGATATCTTGTCTTGCTCTGGTAAACAACACATCATTTTCCAGCCATCAGAATCAACAATCATTCCACCGAGAAACCCATCGATTGTCAATTATAGATTCGCATCCAAGGTACTACCGTTCCACGTGTTGACCTCGACAGTCTACTTTGGACCCTGCTTGTTGGAAAAGGGAGAAGCTTACTTGGGCTTTCGAACATGAAGGTGACTGTGTCGCCGTCGTCTTCAGCCTTCACTGTGATGATGTCATCATTGCCTGCACATTTCAGCATCTTGGCCATGTTCACCAGATTCATCCCCAAAGTGAGATTCCTGCAGCACAACAGTTGCTAAACGTCAGCTCATACACCCTCTCTGTGGCCATTATGGACGCGAATATCCACGTTTGAACAATGAGAAACGCCTGATTGTTCCTCACCTGTCGCATCGGTAGTGTTCAAACCCATCTGCTCGCAAGAGAAGCGCAACGAGTGCAACGTGGCTAGAATCCATGGCTTGGAGTGAGAAGCCAGTGGAGGAGCAGTCGAAGTTAGCATCAGTGACGAGGTCTTTGATCGCATCAAGAAGCTTCTTTAACACGCTTCCTTGAACTAGACGCGCCTCAAACATCGTGCTTAGTAGCTGAGAAGCTTCTTTCAAAAAGGTCAAGGGAGAACTGGAGGGTAACGACCAATGAGTGCGAAACCTACGAAGATTCGAATCAACGACAAGCTTCGCTCTTATTTGTCTTGCGGAGACTTATGGGCGACGAACGTTCTACACGGGCTGAGTCTGAATGAACGAAAGAGGAAGCAATCGGGGAAAGGTTATGGGATGGCAGAAAGAAGGACGTGGGGAAAGCCTGATCCGAGTCCTGTCCTTCGACGAATTTCAAATTTTCAAAATGAAAACCTCGTAGCGGGTACATTATCACGGCTAGGCAGTGTCTGCTTCATTCTCTATCTTTTTGTGTTAATATTATACAAGTGTATTTCAACTTGAGCCACTCGAATATGCAGTAACATTCAGGTTGTGGAGTGTTTTTCCCTACGCTTGTAGGGATTGATGCGCATTCTAAGCATTTGTCGGCAAAACAGCCGAAATCATAGGCTCCGAACTTTTCTTTGCGCAAGAAACAAGCCGAAAAGGCTCTAAGGGAGTATCCATGTTTAGGTCATGGGCACTGTTCATTCAACAGTTTGGGTCATCCGCCTTTCACGCATGAAAAACACTCGACTGTGGAAGCGCGCGCGGTCCGAACTTCGGGTCATACTGCAACCTGCATGCGACCGTCACGCTCAATGTGTCCCCCCACTAATCAGTGAATGTGCGACCCCATGTTGGGCCTCCCTCTTTAGACGGACGTCATTTTTCACTCACGCCCGTCAATGTCCCATGTACACCACAATTCGGTGCCTCGATCTTGTAAAACGGACTTGACCACAGTCGCCGATACAAGCCTTAAAACCACACCAAGGGAAACCACGCTCCAGGCGCCATGTTTACAAGCACATGCGGCACCATAGCAAGCCGCCTTACTACCAGCGCGGTGCCAACAAAATGGGCGCTTTGACTGCACGATAAACAATTCTTGTACGGATCATGCATCCCTACACATCGCCAATCAGGCGGCCACCAACCATGCTCATAACACAAGTTATCTTACACTATGTGTCCTTACACCTTGGGCATGAGTACCGTACCTTCTCATTTTTTAAATGTGATATTGCACAAGTGTATTTCAGCTTGAGCCACTCGAATATGCTATAATATTCAGATTGTTGAATGCTTTTCCCTATGCCTAGTGATTCATGCGCACTCTAAGCATTTGTCGGCAAAAACAACCAAGCATGTCATCTTAGACGCCGGACTCTTCTTTGCGCAAGAACCAAGCCGAAAAGTCTCTAATACGTGTATTTGAACTTGAGCCACTCGAATATGCAGTAAAATTCAGGTTGTTGAATGCTTTTCCCTACGTTTGTAGGGATTCATGCGCTTTCTTAGCATTTGTCGGCAAAAACGGTCGAAATCATAGGCGCCGAACTCTTCATTGCGCAAGAACCAAGCCGAAAAGGCTCTAATTGTCAAACATTATATATGTTGTGTTAGTTTAGGCTACAGTGGGTTAGCCTATAGGGGGTACACAATTCTAGGGTTAGGTACTTGTACTCATTTCACTGCTAGTTCATTCATTCCTGTTCAGTTATTCCAACATGGTATAGAGCAGGTCCTTCCTAGGACCGAAATTTTCTAAGGGCCCACCATTACGTAACTACCTACCTACCTACCTACCTGTGCCTTAGAGCGCCTCGGCGTGTCACGCCCCTAGAGGCCCCTCTTGACTGCCCCGCGCTAGCCCCGTTCAGGCCCCGTTGGCCCCATGCCCGCTCTCCCTAGCGGCCCCGTTCAGGCCCCGCCGGCCCCGCGCTAGCCTCTCTCAGGCCCCGTCGGCCCGCGCTAGCCCCGTTTCAGGCCCCGTCGGCCCGCGCTTGCCCCGTCTTAGGCCCCGTCGGCCCCGCGCTAGCCCCGTCTTAGGCCCCGTCGGCCCCGTCGGCCCGCGCTAGCCCCGTCTTATGCCCCGTCGGCCCCGTGCTAGCCCCTCTCAGGCCCCGTCGGCCCGCGCTAGCCCCGTTTCAGGCCCCGTCGGCCCCGCGCTAGCCCCTCTCAGGCCCCGTCGGCCCG